TGAGGTGCCTTGTTAAACGGCCCGCAACAAGGGAGACGTTTGGTTTGGGTTCTGACACAGCCCTCGTGAGAACGAATGCGAGACCTCACTGGCCGATGGCCTAGTCAGTACCTTCGTTTGAAGATACGGAAGCTGTCCTGGGGTCGGTAGGTGCCCGGCGGGTAATAGAGCTAACTAAACAGGAGCCTAATTCCCCCCCGACGACTCCATTCCACTGGCTCTGGAGGTGTTTGGCTGGCCACCTGTTCTGCATGCGGTCCAAGGTGCGGCTCTATCTAAGCCTTTCAACTTGGGTACCTTGCCTCGACTTGTGCCTTGCACATGCATGTTGGGCACTTCCAACTCGCCCTGCGGCTGTACGTCCAACTGGCCTACTATACTTAGAATACTCACAAATAGTCTACCGTCTGGATTCAATTCTCCCAACAAGCTGTGGTGTGGCTCAGTAACCGTCACGTCCCACTGTCCAGGAAACAGCCCAGCGTGGACTGGACGAAACCAAATGGACGCTAGCAACCGCCAGACGAGTACCTGCCGGCCAGTAAACTCGCTGAAGCAAGTCCTGCCCAGTGTCTGGGGTTTCGCTTCTAACCGCCCGCTTCCACGCCGTCTCGTTTCGCGATCAACCTCGCACCGATTCAATTCGTCGCCCTCATCGTCATGTCGAGAGATGCAACACCGCAGGTTACCCGTACACCTCACTATCTCTCCGCATCCACAGACAACAAGCTACGTGGACTTTTGTGTCTGCGACCGTGCGCTGGATTTGCCCGTGTCACTGCGAAGCCGTGGAAATAGTTCAAGTCCACGAGAGAGAGCATGCCGCGTCACGTCTCGTCAGGCATCTCTCTCGCAGCAATGCCTCAATTGCACGAATCACAGCTTCCGCCCTTGGGCCGGTGCATCGTCATCTCTCGGCGTTTCCTTCGACTTCGCCGCATGGGTGACGGAGCCCACGTCAACCCATCAGGACCCCGACCGCCACGAGCAAGGAGGCCCTTGGACGTCAACCCCGTCACCTGTCACTGATCTTTCAGCTCCCTCATAATTTTTTTTTTCCGCTTTCGTCCGCATAGGCTGCGACTGACAAGAAAATGTACTGATATCCGCGCAATCCATCAAATCCTCCCTAAATCCTCCCTATAATTAGTACGCTCTCACATGCGTCTCGTCGCTTCTCTCTCGTCGAGTCCCGTCCGCCACCTGCGCGAATGATGAGCATCAGTAGCTCGAACGCCGGTTCAACGACAAAGCAAAGCGCGAGAATCTTCAACCACTGCTAGCCAAGCATTTAGTCAAGACGAGGAGCCATGTCCCTGGCATCCAGGGGTCAGCGTGAATGTCACAGTGGAGTGAAGACTAATGATTTGCCCAGCCGCTCTAAGCGCCCAGACGAGCTGCGCTACCCCGAACGCCGTACTACCAACAAATCGCGGATAGCCTGCGTCTCGAAGTCGTTGAGGGCCGCGAGTCAAACGGTGGCCAGTGGCTTATAACGCCAAGTCTTAGTTGAGAAGTCGTGTGAATTGACATGAAAGCCTTCATTCGAACGACGTCGAACGCCGCTTTACTTCAGCTAACATTATCACGCAGTATCGACGCTTGTCAATCACCCTCCCCTTCGCCAGACCACCCGCGAAACCACATGAACGCAGAACATGTCAATCACTTAGAGACTACCCATTCTCAAAGATGACTCGCTCTCGACCTCGGACGATGAAATTTTCCAAGCGGGCCTAACTCTCGGCCGCGTCCAAAACAGAAGCTATCCCCGTCCCGACGACATGCCGAGTGACCGAGTGATCCTAAGCTATACCTCTTCTTCCTATATGAGATCTCCTCACAACCATTCTATCCTCTCCTCACGAAAGAAAAAAAAGGTCTAGGACGATACCACTCACTAATCCTCTAGCTCCGTCTCATGCGGGTGACATCTCTCTCACAAGCCCATTCCCATCGCCCATTGGTCAACCATTCACACTCGGCAAACATGGGAAAACCCTAGACCACCCGCGGCCCGCTGTTACAGGGACCCTGGTACTGGCAAACCGAGTCTCGTCTCCCCCCTCCGCTTCAGATCGGCGACCGCGGCCGCTTCTGCGGCCCATCTGTACCCTTTGAGCAGGCGAGATCTTGTGCGTTGGGTGCACGCATGGGGACCGTGGGGAGTTGGCCGCTTACTTACACACATATGTCTTCTGCGACTTGTGAAAGTTGACAACAGCTAGAAGACAAAAGTATTCCCAAGCAGACCGAGATACTTAGGGCCTATCTCACTGAGGCGGTTCCCCTCTTCCCTCGGCTCTTACGGATGGGGCCTTTCGCGATACGGTACGGTACGATGCCTATGCGGGAATCGACTGAGGGGAGTTGCATCAGCCCATTCCCTGCCAGCCACTAGCACACGTTATCACACCGCAAACCTGGGCATGGTCAGAAGGCTGGTGATGTGATTAGAAGCTGACTACCTTAAAGTAACCTGCTTTGGTCTACCGATTTTCACATCATCCAGATAGTGCTTTCCCCCATCGCGCGAGGAGTTAATCAAGGGAGGGGAAGCGATTGAACGAACTGGAAAATAAGGAAACTCCTTTTCTGTTTTGCAAGCTGCGTACTGCTCCTCAGAGGTTACTGCAGTTTACAGAGGTATCTCTTGGAGCCACGGAGGCACCTACGAGATGCATAACTCAGAGCTATCTCCATAAGCTCGCAGTCTTTGAAAACTAATCTGCGTCTAGTCCAAGACTCAGTCGTTAGATCGCAATCTTGGTTGCACAGTCCTTGAGAACCACTTCCCTGACCGTACTAATTTTCGCCCTACCGGTTGTGACTATCGGAGTCTCAGTGCATTTAGTCTGATAGAAATTGTAGTGATAAATTTTACTGCACCGGCGATTGACCTCGTCACCAGAGCGCCTACGTGTGAAGCCGATCGAGAACGTAGTTGCTGCTGCTGTTTTTTTTTTTTTTTTTCTCTTAATTTGGGTTCTTATCCGTGATGCACAAGATTATTATACAGTTGGACATACGAGAGGTGCACAGCATAGGTTCCACGATTGGAGGCAGAGTCATCCAAGTTTCGGTACTGCCTCGCTCTCGTGTGTCTTAGGGCGGCTCCGGCTTCCATAAAAAGGTCATACACTTCCAGTACAAAAGTCGTATTCACTGTAAAGCCGAGTATCAGCCACTATACAGCTCCCTTCAAGCGAAATGACGAACCCGTATGGCGCTCTGCGCGTCTCCAGTCGCCCTCAACGAAGATTAACCAAGTCAATGAGGGACAGTGAGAGACGCAATATGCTTTATTGGTATTGTCTCAACCTAATGACAGAATGCTTAGGGCAGTTCGGCGAGTCGTGATTAGGTTGTGAATTGACGTTACAGTTCAGAACGGAGAATGGCATCTCATTTCGCGCATCCATAAAACGATATCTTTAATACATAGTATAGTTAAGGAAAATATTAATAGTTATAAGCCTAAACCTCATCCTAAATTAAGGTAGCTCCTAAGCCTAAGATCATCTTATGCTAAGGTAACTCCTAAGTCTGAAGGCTATAAACCCTAAATGATTTCTTCAGCCCTGAAATCCTAACCCGATTACATGATGAAGCCGAAGGTGGCCTGGAAGCGGCGAACATCATCATCGTCCTCTGGGATGGAATGCTTCTCGTCGTACTAAGCGATCTATTCTTCAACGGTAGGGCATGGGCTGGATCGACTCTTTTTCGCAGTCCAACAACTTCGAGTGGCTTTTCGACCGAGTTCTCCTGCCAGACTCACCAACGGCGCCGGGTTCCTCGTCACTATCGGATTTGGTGTCATCTCTGTCACTGAGGGTCTGTAATCGTCCTCACTACTCCCATCCTCCCAGACCACGTCCTCTCGTCCTCCTGGCGTCTGTGGCTCATACTCCCCCGGCCTTGGCCTTCACTCTCACCTTGCCGCTTATCTTCCCCTTGATTGCTCCCCCTCGGCCTTGCTCAGGATGGTCACTTTTCCAGGCATCTTCGATCTGTTCGGTACGTAACTGATGTGATCAAGTAACTAAACGGGAGTTGAAGCAGGATCACTGGAAACTTACTGAACTGGATTATTCGCGAATTCAGTTGTGGAACGTTTCGTTGCAATAGTGGTCCTCTTGGATTAACTTGGCCAAAAGATTGACCTTCGATGGTCCCTAATGACTACCTGCGGCCTTGGAGCGATACCTGGAGTTCAGCTACATGTGTTCAAACTCAATCAACAGTATGAGAAGCAATTAAATATCCAAATTCCTTCTCATGGTGCATGACTGGCGTTTAACTACTCATGCGCTACGCATTGTAGAGTGCGGGGAGCAGGGTGGGATGCACTACTAGTTGTGAGTGCTGGCATTGGCCATATCGTCTTCCTCCCCCTAGGAAACTCTCGACTCGGCATCTCGGTGACGGCTTCAGCGCAGGCGGCGCGGTCCCGGGGAGGGGTGCGGTCGCAGGTACGGCGGGGGCAGTAACCCAAAAGTCTGCTTCAAATCATTGTAGGAGGCCATCTATATCCTAGTCAGCAGCATCCTTACATATGGATGTGTTTCAAATTAAGTTAAAAGATAGAAACAAAGGACAGGTGTGAAGTGAAGCACTTGTTCAAGTGTAGGTAAAGAGTGTTGAGAAGCAGCAAACACTTACCACTTTGGTCGGGAGAGGGGCGGTGGATGCTCCTTTGTCGAGTGGATGCGGTCAAGGGAGGATGCTTTATGGCGAGGGTGAGAAAATAGAAGAACTTGCGTTATTCCGCCTGACACATGACCATTTCTGGCCGCCTGCCTGAGGCGCATACCGCCTTTTTCTCGAGCGGGATCTCGCCTTGAGCTGACTGGCGGGCTGCCAGGTGATCCTTGGTTTGGATGCCGGTCAATAAGAGAAGGAGCAGCTCCGACAGCACCAATCACACGGGTCTAGCGTATCCCAGCCTCCCGCCATGCCTTTCCTTATCATCTAGAATATGTGATCTTCTGTCAACAGCCGGTATAGCACAGTGGTCACCGCGCTCCCGTTTTACTTGCAGCATCCTCTTGACTAAGGAGAATCATCTTTGACCAACGCGCTTGAGTAACGAAACGGGAGAGCTTCTGAGTTCAATTCTCAGTGCTGGCATTCTTTTCTACTTTCTTGCATTCCTTGAAGCCTCCAGCACCCAGATCTTGTCACTTAGGATATGGCGGTCGTCTATAACAACAACAGCCGCATGGTGTAGTGATCAGCGCTGTCCCTGTCGCATAACTATTAATGATGCTTTCAGTCGCCAGCGACTCTGTTCAACTCCTGATGTGAGTATCTGACTGGCATCGACGCATACCTCCTGGCTGGCACTGACGCATCATTGAGAGACGGGAAGAAGGCCAGATTCGACTCCTGATGTGGGTGTTCCTTTTGCTCATTGAGATAAATTGTACGAGCAGGTGATCTAGATCTGTATCATTACAGTGGTGATGCTTCTTGTAGTCGTGCATCGCAGAGCCTCATTCCCCACTTGTAGATTTGTCTCCACCTTGGGCTGGATCTGCTGATGGGACCCTGATCCCCGCGTTTGTGGGACATACCTAGCGTTGGAACAATTTAACATTGTTCGCCGGGAAAGCATACATACCGTTAGCTAGGTAGTGGGGTGAATCCGTGATTACGGTGGCTGCTCTGTGCCCACGCCCTCTCTGCTGATGGCCATTACATTAAGTGGGAGAAGGAGAGAAGGAGGAGAAGTGGGCTACATGCTCAAAGACTGATAGGCACCCTAGCTCGCGCTCCCGTCCAGTTGATCTACTGGAAGAAAATGAGCATTGTGATGCAGTAAGACGTAGTACTCTGCTTATCGATTGAACATACTACTCAAATAAAAGTCGAGCATTGTACAGTCAATGCTGCTTTCTGTTTTCTAGATTGTAGAGTTAATGGATCAATCAGTGTCCACGCTTGTTGTGAAGACTGCACCTTGTACTCTCATTTATTATTATTATAACTTATAGGTAGAGTAACTTAGGGCTGAGACCTAAGGTGTATATCAGACATCCAGCCCTTAGATATATATATTAACACCGGGATCTTAGGTATTAGTATTTAGATAGGTATGAAGACGTTATTTAAGAAAGCTGTTATAGACCGCCTTGGATTAAAAATACTAATAAGTCCTTCCCACTTATGTGATCAAAAGTCTCCGATTCAAACTTGTCTTTCTGGATTTTCAGAAGATTGATGAGCCTACCTAGTATAACGTACTGAGTGAGGCTGTTCGTACCTATGAATCCCGGATTTCTTACAGGGTAGGCCTCTGCATTCCAGGACGCCACCCTGCTTACCCCTGCAACCAACAAACAACCTGAGAAGTTCACCGCTGGACCATGTGAACGTAGAGACTTCATCGCAACCACCTTGTTGCCTAGGTAGCCAGTATATGCCCATAATGCGCCTCAACTCTCCGGCCCACTTCCTATTCAGACCATCAGTCCGGCGAGGATGCCTGCAAACACGCAGTTGAAATGAACGCACAGCAACAAAAAGCCCGGAAAGCGGTCGTCACTCGGTTGGCGATATCAGTGCTTCACCCTATCATCAAATATGACAGCCCATACATCGCGGAAGAGATGTTACGTCGTTTTCAAATCAAGTGCAAAGACCTTGACTTCAACACTGGCCAGATTGACGAGGACGCTGCAATTTATCCGGCCCATCCCTCCTCAGAAGATGGAAGAGTGGCTGAAGGAGACGAAGCCATGGGTCATTCGCCGGGACATCGTCAAAGATGGCCGCATCGAGCCACCCTCAATCCTCAATGGGAGGCCAAGCTGTTTCAGGATCTCATATCCTTCCACCTCTCCATGAGCGAGGGAGGGGATCACATTGGTGTCATGCAAGCCCATACACACTCAGTGGGGGGAGGTTGTGTATGTTGAAACCCTGTCCCTGCCGACATCTGTTTTCCCCTGTCATTTCTTCCCGGTGAACTAACGACCTGCTAATTCGTGCAACAGGCCATCCCGCGTGAAGTATCTCAACCGCCTATCCAGCGGGAATGCGGACTGGCGGCTTAGAAGCATATTTCGTCAACACTTCGGCCCGCCCACAGGCCTCGACGACCGAAAATTAGACCTCGGCAAGCCACATACCATATGTTTCCTGTCAGATGATGCCCTCTTGCAAGACGATTTGCTCTCAACCAGCGAACTTGCCTCTGCGTTATTTGTAGGGCTTAACGATGGCTTGGGAATTCCGTACCAGAAGCATAACATCATTCCGGTAAGTCTACTTATGCCTTTTTACTCCATTGTTCGTGAATCATGGCTAATATCTGCCGACAGGTCACCCTAGTGTCGGCCTCTAACCGAACAGTCCGTGTTGTTCAGTGCATAATCGATATCCGTAACGCCAACATCGAAATTCGGAAATCTCCTCTTGTTCACTTCGACCAGGGTGTGATGGCAAATTGGCAAAAATATGCAACCTTATTAGGCTGGTTGGTAGGCGACCATGTCGGATGGACGACATAAGTATATTTTGAGTCCTGGCGACCTATAGATCTAACAAATGATGTGCCCTCTAGACGCGGGCCAGCTTCGGTTAACGGGGATGCTTATTATTGAGGGGTACGTTCCTAAGTTAGGGGAGATATTTTCTAGTAGAGGGAATACATCATGATGTCAGTTTGAACCCACCGCGATGTGCTGTCATCCAAACTTCGTTGTTTTCTTCACGTCACCGACAGCCGGCATGGCGCAGTCAGCGCGCTTCAGCCTCTCGACTGGGATCGAGGCATAGGGCATAGGGCATGCCCCCTATCTGGCATTAAAGGGTGCTTTCCTTCTGGCATCGAGCCATGTCTCATTCTCGACTGGTATCAATCGACGCAAACCTCCTTCTTGACACACACGAAGTGGCAAAGTGAGTTTGCTTTCTACTTCTCGTAACGCTCCCTACACTCTCACAACCTTCTACACTACTACTGCTAACTAAGATACAGACGGCAAAATACAATGATGCCAAGAGACTGATAGGCCTGGCAGAAGTTGTGGCCTTCAGGCGGTTATGGTAGTGGAAGTGGTGACCTCAGGGGAGAAGATGTTTCCGAGTATGCCCCCAGATTGATATCAGATGACCTTCCACGGCTAATGCCAAAAAGCGCAACAAAGTGAGCCACATGGCCAAGGATTGCCTGCCGTCCGCCGACGCTCTGCGATCCCTCTCGATGCTCCCGCCCGGCCCCCGTCTCCTCTTGATCCAGCTCCCCTCACCCCCACACTGAGCTTGACGGCATCCCTGTCCCTGCCGGTGGCGGCGCCGAAGCCGTCACTGAGATACCAAGTCTCGGGTTCTACCAGGGAGAAGAGAGAGATGGAAAGGAGGTAGAGAAGGAGGGGGAGGAGTAAGACGAGCAAATGGCCGATGCCGGCGACCACAACTAGTGGGATGGTCCACAGGAGACGGCAAGAATGCTTGGGAGTAATTTCCCCTGTGTGCCGTGGTTATTTTGGTGCTTCTCTGTCGAATACCTTACAGAACCACCACCAACCTTAATGCCCTGTATACACATCATCATCAGACACCCCGATGCTCAAGGTAGTAAGGTGACGACTCTGACCTTGACCTAAACAATGTCTACCCTCATCATACTAACTACGACCCTAACCATTATTAATTACTTCTCTCATCACCCTAATCCCTAACTGCCTAACTGTTGACGTCGCCTAAGGTATCTGGATGCAGTAGGTATTCCTGATGGGTACATCACGAGGGAATGAGTAAATCAACCAGACTTATTGCCGAGCCACAGGACAGCCACGTGGGGTTATCATCTCTTACCCTTCACGAGAACTCCCTACCTAGTGTGGGAGAATGTGCGGGCTACAAAAACCTTTCTTGCTGAACCAAACTTTGGGGATGTGAGGAGGCCCTATGATCAGGTCAACCAGGCCCATGGAGCCTGGAAGAGAAAGCTTCCTGTGACGCTCCTGGCCTTTCGCACTCTTGGACTGACTGACGCTTCAAGGCAATTGTTTTGCTGTAGCACGGCGTGGGAACTATATGCCTGGAAGTTGACATGGCCCTCCCTTGGAATTATGGAGGTCCCTATGACTCCAGCCTGCTTACTTAGAACTGTCTTCTTCGGTATAGTCATGGTGCTTATTCAATGTCTCTAATAACAAAAGGAGGTTCACAAGTCAAAAGTTTCTTATTGCAAGACACTAACTCGGTAACTTCAGGGATCTGCTAGGTGGCCATGCATTGGAAAGTTTATGGCTATACTATTCTAAGTTACAAGTTGAGCATGATCGTTGCGCGACAGATGATCAAACTTTTTGGGGATGTTGGAGGGGACATATTACTGTCTCCTATGCAGGTGTTTGAGATCAATGAGTAGAGCCAGGGGTGAATGCACGTTACTGGCGACAAATCTTGAGGGATAAGACTGGATTCAACAGCGAATGTAAAAGCCGTTGATATGATCAGAAGCGGAGTCCCTCATAGCAAACTGCCTGAGATTACTGATTTTTCCATTGTTCGCATCGTATTGAGACTCGTTCAGTTCGTTCATTGCATCCTGGTTAATGACTGGACTATCACATCGCCGCTGCGTTATGAATGATATCCATCCGTCCTTAAAGTCGACTCCAACTCGAAACCCGCACTGCTTCCAGATCTTTGCCTGCCGTCATTGCGATCCCATTCATTCCTGGGCGCTCCTCAAGTATAGAGCGTCTCAGTCCAACTGTTGACTTGCATGCCCCGCTCGGCCATGTCGACGTCCCTCAAAAATTCCAGCGGGAACCACACCAGGTGACCCCTGATCTTGTTGAGCTTGTTGCGTGCATCCTCTGGAGGCATGAACTGGTCGAAAATGTGCCCGGCCTTGATGCCTTTCGGTGGTAGGAACCGGTCGTAGTCCTCAAAGGTTTTGACTGGGCGAGAGTTAGTACGCACGAAACGGTCGGTTGAGGAAGAACTCACTATGATTGTCGGGATCCGCGTGGAAGACCCTAAAGGCATCTGTATTTATTTGACATTGAGTCGTCCATTGCTCCCAGAGCCTGTCGCTGAGCGGATCTTCCATGAACAGCCAGCTCTCGTCCTTGTCGTAGATGTCGTTGTCGGGGCTCACAGACGGCGGC